ACAAGCCAATAAATTTTTTTTCTAAATTCAGAATTCTAATATATGATAAATAATTACAATATTATAATCAAATAATCAATGATACAAATTACAAAAATAATTTATTGTTCAACAACGTTCATTGTTCATTTATTTTGTTTTGAATATGTTTATTTGTGCTCATGGGCTCGTGGCATTTAAACTAATTTAAAAGTTGTTAATGCTACGTTGTCTGTTGAGAATTTGAGATTATTACTTTTTCGTGAAGTCTAGTGAAGTTGTAACTGTTAAAGTGTTAACTTAGTTAACTATTATTATTTTAACTGTAATTCGTGATGTATAAAAGAAAATACAAAGCTGGTTCAGAAAAAAGAAAGGAAAAAGAAAAGCAGAAATTGCTTAAATGTGCCTATGACAAAAGCCAAAAAAACTTAGTTTTTCCTCAAGTGTGAAAGGTAAGAATATTTTATTTTATTTTCTAATATAGCTATGTAGTTAAAAATATAAGACAATAACGTACCTATATTATATTATTATAGTCACTACTCACTATACACAAATACTATGTATTATGTAATTAATATTAATAGTCACTATCCATAATATCACTATACAAGAAACATAAATTTTAAAGTTTCTTTCTTGAATCTATAAAGTATTATATAAATATTAAATCTATATATGTGTGCTTACAATTTTAAGATACAATTGAAAGTACGGTTTCTACTGAATCACTGTCCATTGATAAGAACCCAATTTCAAAATTAGCTATTTCTACTATTACCATAAGTAATTTATATTTAAAATTTATTTTTTTGAATTTATAAAATATTCTAATATAAAATCTAATAATGTGTGTTTTCAATTATAACCGAGATGTTATTCATATGTATTGTCTAATTTGCTTTACCTAATTACCTTTTAAATCTTTAATTTTAATTTAAAAAAATGTATTATTATAAAAATGATGTACTTATTGACATTTGTAAGTTGTAATTAAAATAAATATGAAACTATGACACAATTTAAATCGGTGTTTTTCTTTATAATGTTTAATGTCACAGGTGGTGTAACTTTTTTTCCGGGCTAATCAAAACATTTGCCATTTGCCTATTAGGGCCTTAGGGGCCCTTTTTTCCAAATCGCGGACTGGGCCTTTTCGAGCCAATCCGACACTGTGTTCTTGTATATTATTTAAAGTTTCATTAATAGGTACTGGAAAGCCCCAAAATCAGATTGATAACAAATAATAATATGCAAGCGCAAATGTCATCTATCCTGGTTATCGTTTACACCTTCTTTGTTTTATCCAAGTTTAACAAACATGGACACATGGTATTTCTTCAAATAAGTAATAAAAATGGTATATTATGTTTATTATGAATTGACTCATTAAATTAGTTAAACGTAGTCAACGTTGTTAATTAAGTAGGTGTACTTATCCATATAAATACTTAGGCAATTAAAATATTATAATTATATAATTACTATAGTATATGCGGTGGTATATGTGCTGGGGTATAAATAAATTGTCATCATTAGTTTAAATAATAAAATACCTCACGTTTGTTTAGTAGTGACGCAGCGATACTGCTTATTAGACATTAGTTATTAGTTATTAGTTATAAATTGTAGTGCGGTACACGTGTTCAAAGAACAGAGTGGTAATGGACATTGTTTTGAGGTAATAATATAAGCTATAAATACATAAGAAATAATTAATAGTAAATATTTCATTTGAAAAACTATTGCTGTAAATTATAACACTTACTTATCATTTTTCACTATACACTTTGGCCCGAGGATATTCCTTTTATTATTTGTATTGTTTAGTTTATAATATGGTATATAGTTCTATATTCCTTGTGTCTTTACATCTATTAACTCGTATACATAAGTCGTCATTGTATTCCCAATATCCATCATGTATTCCGGTATTCGTCTGCAATAAGTAACATAGTGAGGCAAACATTTTTCCACTCCCTCAACAAATGCTATTGCTGCTACAAATATGTATCTGTAATCATATTGCTATCATGTTAACACATTGTTTAGGTTTATATGTTTTTTTGTTTTATGCTATCATGATTTCATCAAACTAACATTTTGTCTATGGACTTCTGTATGACTGTATAGGTATTTGTTTAAATCCTCCTAATAAAAATTAAGTACATTTTTATTCATGGTGTTAGGTTGTAACTAATTTGTTCAATATCAATTTATCGGTTGGGATATTATTTTATTGTAAGACAACATGAATGGGAATATCTTTTTTCATTTATACTATAGATAGTATGGTAACCTCATTTCGGTATAAACTTCAAAATATCAGAATTATGTTTAAATTTATCTACGTATTATTTCCAATGCATAACAATATTTTACAGAAATATTCTCATTTCGAATCTGATTAGATATTGAGTGTAAGTAATATAATAAATGTTTATAATTTGAAAATAGTTGTTATTAGTGGAAATATAGGCAAAGGTGGAAAAAAGGCTATTATGTCGTTTTAGAGTTTTAGAATTGATGGATTTGTGTTATGAACTACTGAGGTTGCTTAGAAATATGGTAATCTTACCAAAAAATGCGTAAAATTGTAATGAACATATTTTTGTTATGTCCTCTGAGTGATATTGTGATTAAATGTCCTAAATTATAATTTGATAATTGTGACAAAACGTACCATTTCCATCCTATTGTACATTTTGGCATAATTTAAGGAAATAGTACATTTTGCTGTTTATTTTTTCAAAACGTACTATTTCCGGAATTAGTGCGTTTAGCTTAGGAGTGTATTATTCTATATTATTTATTTTCTATTTGGTCACATTTTTTAAAAATTATCACAAATAAATAGTATTTTTTTAAATTTTATAATAGTAAATGAATATAACAAATGCATAGGTACTTATTTTACAAAAATACATCCACAACTAGGTAACATCCTTTTGCAGAAATTTAAAATATATACATTAATATTACCTTAACATGAAGAAATAAATATCTTTATAATATGTAATAGTATACTCCTTCTGCATAATAAAATATATTGTGTTTATAGATATAACATATAAAATAGACATAAACAGTATTTAATTATTGTTTTGTAATAATTTATACCAAATTGTAACCAATATTATAGGACATACGTCTTTACTTAGGAACAAAACTCTGTCTAAAATAAATTATAAAACAAAACTTAAAGTTATAATATTTATTATTCATAGATAGTAAATACATTTTAATAGTCCATTCCTTGGGAACAAAAAACTAAAATATTAAAACAAAATAAAATAATGATTCTGTCATTGGAAGGTAAGAACAATTATTGGATTCTAGTGTGACATTAGCTTGTGTTAAAATATTTAATGCATGAAGTATGTTAATTATAATAGGACTGCTTGAAGCAGGCCCGTAGTCATGGGGGTGGCAAGGGGGGGGGGGCGTTGTCCACTCTAAACATAGGCATTGCCCCCCTAAAAAATATTAGAAAGACTCTTAGGTAGGTATGTATTTTATTGCTTATAACATTTTCATCGGTAATAAAATAGATCAAAAAAGTTTTTTTAGCCGTATTGTAGTATTTATTTCGGAAATTCCGGGCCATGACGACGATAATGACGTGTCACGACGACTGTTGGCAAATTGATTGCTATCGTTATATTAGCTCAATACTTTCCTATCAATTGACATTTTATTATAGAACACCTAAATATGGACTTAAGCATGGACCTATTATTAACGAACTTCAACAATCAGAAGAATAGAAAATTGAAGCTGTATTAATTAATATTAAAATGTTCAACATTTAACCACGTAACATCAGTGAATTTTATGAATATTATAATTATCTATGTTAACTTTAATATAAGTTTTATTTTTATTATTTAGTATTATTCGTTTTGTAACTTTAAAATAAATGTTTCATTGTAAATTCCCAAAATATTCTATTATAAATATATATTAGATATTTAGATGGAAAATTATAGTTGTGTTAATATGAGATGTCAATCGTCAATGTAAATAAATTAAAAATTGCATTAATATTTAATACATTTATAAATAAATAATAAAATTTGCCCCCCCAAAAATTTGCTTTGCCCCTCCTGAACATTTGGTCTGGCTACGGGCCTGGCTTGAAGATTGGTTCAGATTGTTAAAATTGAATTGCCGAACATCTGAACTAAAAACTACTTTACATGATTCTATATCGACATCAGTCTGAATGTAGATGATAATAAAATGTTGCAATTTATTGTAGTAAGAGTTGAGTAGAGAATTAAAAAAAAAAAATTAAGCATAATAAATTTATAAGTATTAGTTTAACTAAGACATTAAATAGTAGAAACTTACACTTTGAAAAAATAAATATAATATTATACAATTTATATTGCCCAAGACATATTACAAACATAACAAAAAATTGAAGGGATAGCATTTGTAAAATTTAATAGAAGCAATTTAGGAGAAAAATTAAATAATAATTTGATTTAATGAGTTAATTAAAATATTGAAAAGGTTCAACATTTTAATAAAACCAATAGTTTTCTAAAGATATAAAACTAAGTTGAATAGTGGGGAAAAAAATAAAAACTAATTAGAAATAATATACTCTTCCAAATCTAAAATAACTAATTTTTAAATTATAAAAACATCAATAAAAAACATTTGAAGTAAAGTTATGACTTTTGGGTTTTGGATTGATATTATATTGCTTTAGGTACAAAATATTTTATTTTACAAGTTTTAACAGCGTAGATATGAATAATAATATTTAACATACCCGTTTGGCTTTTAAATATTTTTTAAATGTTATTGCTTTTTAATAAAATTGGCTGACTGTAAATACCTACAATATTATTATTAAAATAATTAATAATAATTTATTATAATATTATTATTATAATTATTATTAAGTACTTTTAAGTACCTATACAATACACAATACCTACCTACATTATTGACTAAAACCAGGGCCGGCGCAACGGGGGGGCGAGCAGGGCCCTTGCCCGGGGCCTCGCGCTTTTATGAGGGCCTCGCGGCTCTCTGGTCGAAACTTGTATATAACCTATAATAATCAATATTAATAAAGAATAATGATGTATTTATAATAAGAATTCGTGTTATAATTATACATTTTTACGGGGATTTTGAAGATAATATTATTACGGTCACCGGTTCATAGAAACTGTCACCCGACCGTTCCCCTGCACGCTCGGCCGTCGATCGAATTAACGAGAAAAGATTACGTAGACAACACTATTTTATTAGATTAAATTGCGTTGATTTATTTTTGATACGATAAAGACATAATAAATAATAATATCATAGTCAATAGTCATTGATATCAGATCAAGCACGACGCACGTTGCACGATTGTCATACCATAATAAATTATTTTTTTTTTTTATTGTGAATATTGTCTTTGTGAACAAGGAAACCTTTAGCACATCTTCACAAAATTAATTTTCATACCAGGTGAGTTTATTATTACAGCAAATATTAGTAGGTTACTTATTAGGGTATTAGTTAATAATACGTATTTTATTTTTAAAAATGGAAAATATGGGTACCTACGTAACGTTTAAATTATTCAATATTCATTATTATTTTTCATTTTACATTTATTAATAAATTTAGATAATAATTATTATTATTATATACATTATACATTATACCTACGTATTGTGCATTAAGGGGATTGCAAATCCTATTAATTTTCATCGAAACAACCTTAACGACTGACAAAAATAAAGGTACTTCTAGTTATTCGATTAAAAAAATGTAAGGTTTTTTGAATTGGTATACATACATGTCTACTTTGCATCGGTCGGAGCATACATTTTATATTTTATATATTTTTTAATATATCCAATATTAAAAAATTACATATTTATAAAATGTAAAGGCGCCTCCAGACGGAGCATCTTTTGCCGCGCGCCACGGCCGTGCGGCATGAGTGCGAATACATAAATACATTTTTCGCGGCTTTTCTTGATGCCGCGCGGCAAAATTTCCGATCGGCCTAGTAGGCGGTCTACTGTCTACATCAAAGGAAAACCGAAAATTTCATTTTTTTTAAACATTTTTAATTAGTTTCTTTTTCTTCGTCAGATCCATTATTTTCAATTATCATGTCAACTCATCGTGATCGTGATAACTTTCGAAGTCACCCATCTGGTTACCAAAAACGAATAAAAAAAGAAAAAAAAGAACAAATTATTAAGAAACAACGTGGTGCTTTTGAAAAATTTCTTTGTAAAACAGAAAAAAAAAATGAAAATGATTATGAGGAGCGGGAATCTATTCAACCGGAAATTCAGAATAATATCTCGGATAATATTATGGAGTCTGATCAAACAATTAAAGAAAATAAACAAGGTGAACAATTAGGTATGGAAATCCATGAAGTCTTCTCTGATAATTGTTCTGAACCTATAAACGACAAAAATGACATTGAGAAACTTTATAGCGAGTTTGATGATATTGGCTGTTGGCCTGTAAATATTAACCAGAACATAAGTACAGAAATTATTAAATGTGGTCCAAAAAAAGTATTAAATTTTAAATTTCCGGTTAATGAGCAAAATAGGAAGTTTAACGTCAGCTACTATAATCGTGTAATGCCCAATGGAGAAATAGTTAATCGTTTGTGGCTTGTTTATTCGATCAGTAAGGATGCTGTTTATTGTTTTTGCTGCACACTGTTTCGAACTAGTTTACCAAGTAATTCGAATAGAAGTGGTTTGGTAAGTGAAGGAATTAATGACTGGAAGCACTTGTCTGAAAAGTTATCTGAACATGAACGAACATCTGCCCATAATCAGACAATTAAAATTTGGATGGAACTAAAAATACGAATTTCGACTTTAAATACTATAGATAAACAACACCTGAGTCAAATTGAAAAAGAGAAAAAACATTGGCGGGATGTACTTGTAAGAATTTTAGCTGGTATTCATTACTTAGCAAAATACAACGATGCATTTCGAGGATCATCTGATGTTATTTATACTGAACATAACGGTAAATTTCTCGGGTACATCGAAACGTTAGCTAAGTTTGATCCAGTAATAATAGAGCACGTTAAACGAATTAAATGTAAAGAAACCCACGATCATTATCTCAGTCATGATATTCAAGATCAACTTATAACATTGATTGCTAATAAAATACAAAAAGAAATAGTAGCGGTTATACATAAATCAAAATATTATTCAATTATGATGGACTGTACACCAGACATTAGTCACCAAGAACAATTATCATTGATAATTAGGGTCGTGGATATGGATACTGATAACGAGTTAAGCGATCCAACGATTAAAGAAATGTTTATGGGGTTCATAAATGTTAATTCTACGACAGGATTACACTTAGCAAACGTGCTATTAGAAAAACTAAAAGACAACAAAATTGAATTAAATAACTGCCGAGGTCAAGGCTACGATAATGGCGCTAATATGAAGGGCCAATATCAAGGTGTTCAAGCACGAATAAAAAATTTAAATTCCAGGGCATATTTTACTCCATGCGCAGCACACAATTTAAATTTACTACTGGGAGACTTGGCCAAAACCTCAACTAAAGCTGTTTCATTTTTTGGCGTGGTTCAGAGATTATATTGTTTGTTTTCGTCCTCTACTGGCCGATGGGACATTTTAAAAAAATATTGTAATTTATATACTTTAAAACCACTGTCAGAAACTCGTTGGGAGTGTAGAGTTAATAGTGTAAAAGCTTTGCGCTTTCAGTTACCAAGTGTAATTAAAGCTTTAGAAGAAATGGCAAATACAACTAACGATCCAAAAACAAGAAGTGAAGCCTATTCTTTAGTAATAAATGAATTAAATAGCTATGAATTTGTATTAAGTTTAGTGATCTGGTATGAAATTCTATCAGAAGTCAATATTGTAAGTAAGAGCTTGCAAAGCATAAATATGCATCTGGATGTATCCACTAATTTGCTAAATGGACTACTAAAATTTTTTGAACAATATCGTACTACAGGATTTGATTCTGCTAAAATAACAGCCAACACAATTTCAGAGGACTTAGATATCGAGATAGAATTTAAAAAAACCCGTAAAAGAGTCAAAAAGTCACATTTCAGTTATGCAGGACCTGACGATTTAATTGAAGATGCTGAACTTAAGTTCAAATATGATTTTTTTCTTTTAGTTATTGACCAAGCAATTAATTCAATGAATGAACGATTTCATCAATTCAAAACATTTAATAATAATTTTGGATTTTTGTATAAAATTGAGCAGTTAAAACACATGAATAATGAAGATTTAATGATACATTGTAAAGATCTTCTAATTACTCTGTCTGACGGTGATTCTAAGGATATTGATGGAGTTGAATTATATGAAGAATTAATTATTTTGAGAAATATTATTCATGATACTAATACGGCGTTACAAATTTTATCTTTGTTGAAAAAAATGATGGGTTCATTTCCAAATACTTGTATTGCATTAAGAATTATCTTAACAATACCTGTAACGTCAGCCACTGCCGAAAGGAGTTTTTCAAAACTGAAAATAATAAAAAATTATTTGAGAAATACCATTTCGCAAGATAAGATGTCAAAGTTAGCATTGATTTCAATTGAAAATAAAATATCAGAGTCTCTCGATTACAACGATATTATTGAAATATTCGCTTCACAAAGATCGAGAAAAAAAACTTTTTAATATTTATAATGATCCTGACTATTGATTTGTTTGTATTTATGAAGTCTTCCAAAAAAACATTTATTAATTAATCAACTTGACAATTTGTTATTTAAGTAGCTTACTCGTATGTTTGTTTAATATCTTTTATAGTATCTAGGGACTAATTCGTTTCATTTGGTAATTTACTTGATTTACTTGATTACGTATGTATAAGAAAATACAATTTTAAAATGTATATTTTAATTGTTTAGTTTTTAAGTTTGATTTCATTGTTTAACTTTTTACATTAAATACATAAAATATAACAATTAATTACCACTAAAATCCTTATAAAGAATTTTATTTTGTAGGAGAGTTAATTCATAGCTCATAATTTCATCAAATATTTTGGGAATACCCTTAGACAGTTAGACGCCATTATTATAAAGGGCTCGTGGTATATTTCGCCCAGGGCCTCGCAAAAGATAGCGCCGGCCCTGACTAAAACAAAATATGTACTAGTAACTTCAATCAATATATTTTATATAGAATTGAATTGAATTTGAATAATGATTTTATTTTTCATTAGAATTTTATGATGACTTGTGAGATAATAGACAAGACTGTTGTAGTTTTGGCATAATTTGTTATCAATCATAATGAAGGTAGAGACTTGATTATTTTATTATCAGCTGATAAAATATATGAAAATGAGTAATCCGCACAATATTTATTTATAATTTAATTTAGCAATAATATAACTAAAAATGTGTTGTATAAAAATTTAAGATCAATGGAAATACCTAGTGCGTTGTGCATTTAATTCAATTCCATTCCCTGTGTTAATACTATAGGAAATAGTGCAATATGCCCTACTTAGGAAATAGTACGTTTTGTAAGCATTTAAGAAATTGGTACGTTTTGCGTCATTTTGGCAAATGAAAAAATAATTTAACATGGGAAATACTACGTTTTGACATAATTTGGAAATAGTTACTTTTGTTTCATCATTGCCATTGGAAATAGTGTTTTTTGGAGGCATTCACGAACTTCAGATTGATATTAACAAAGGAAAATTGTACTTTAGTCAACATTTGAATTCACCATTCGATTCCTCGCCTTTTTCTCCACGAGAATCAATAAATAACTCAATTTTCTCAATTTGTAATAAATTGTGATAAATATACAGGGTACAGCCTAGTCCCTAAACCATCTAGTTGACTTCGATCTTTGTCTGATCTACTCGAGACCTATGCCAATATTTTATAACTCATTATATTGTAATTATTTGTAACTTAGTTTCATATTTTATTTTATTTTATTTTATTTTTTATTTTATTTATAAAGTTTTCCTGACAGAATCATCTAAACTTAGTTATATAAAGTACAATTTTTGGCAATTTATAAAAAAAAGGTATTAACATAATATAATGTAATAATTAACTAGGTTTGGCAAATTATAAAAGGCATTAACATAATGAATTTAATAATTAACTAGGTTGAAGATAAGCTACTTTAGGACATCATGGGGTCGACCACGCTTTAATCTTCGATTGTTGGGGCTGACATTTAACCTGTAATGCTGTGGACCGCTTGCTTTGCGTAGATGACAGAAGAAACTTGCCGATAGGTCCTTAATGTAGTTCTTAATAGTTGGTAAATTGTAGTCGGTGTGCAGGGCATCGTTTCGCACAAACCAAGGGGCATTTGAGATCACGCGAAGGACTTTGGATTGTAGAACTTGGATTTTATTTATGTGGGTAGGCGCACATTGACCCCAGACCGGGACAGCGTATAGTAATAGAGGACGAATGATTTGTTTGTATAGTAGTATTGAGCACTTCCAGCTCAGTGATGTTTGCCGATTTATTAATGGGTATAGAATTTTTAATCGTTGGTATCCTTGTTGCACTTTAGAGGATATATGTGGGTTCCAGGTAAGTTTTTTGTCCAGAATTACTCCAAGATATTTAATGTTTTGTGACCATGGTATATTGTGTCCGTTGATTTTTAATGAATTATAATTAGTGGGTCTGCGAAGTGAGAAAATGACTGCTGTGCTTTTGGTCGGATTTAGAACGATTTTCCATTTTTGCGCCCATATTTGTATTACGTCAAGATGAGATTGGATATTTACTATAACATTTTCTATTTTATCGGAACTAGAATAAATGACGCTATCGTCCGCATATAAGGCTATTTCCGTGTTCGTTGTTGTAGGAAAATCTGATATGTAAAGGTTAAATAGTAAAGGAGATATTTTTGAGCCTTGTGGAACTCCTGCAAAAATTTGTTTGACGTCTGAGTTTGTGCCATCTATTTGAACGGTAAAACTACGAGAGTGGAGAAAAGATTTGATGATGTTGAAGATTACAGTGGGAGTGTTAAGACATTTTAATTTATAAAGTAGTCCGTCATGCCAGACCTTGTCGAACGCTTTTGCTATGTCAAGAAAGGCCGCTCCAGTATGTTCTTTTGTTTCGAATCCGTTGCTAATGTGCTCTGTAATACGTAGTAGTTGCTGAGTTGTGGAGTGGTTTGGTTTAAAACCAAATTGGCAGTGAGGAATTACATCGGTTGCGTTTAAATGACTAATAAGTCTGGTGTGAATAATTTTTTCGAAGATTTTTGAAACAGACGATAGTAAGCTGATGGGCCTGTAATTGTTTGGATCTGTTTTATCTTTGCCAGGTTTTTTAATCATAATTATAGAGGCCAATTTCCAATTAGTGGGAAAGTAGCTCAGTTTTAACAGGGCATTGAATAGCGCTGTCATAAATAGAACTGCTTTATGGGGTAGTTTTTTTAATATAGAGTTGGTAATTAGGTCGTGACCGGGTGATTTACGTTTTGGTAGTTTCTTTATTATTTCTGAGATTTCTGTTGGGTTAGTGTATCGAAAAATGTTTTGCGGTAAAATTTCCGGCTCACTTAGTTTCTGAGACACCAAATTAATAGTTGTTCTATCATTTAAGTCGTTAAGTGTGAATGTATTTTCTAAAGTGGTGGCAAATAAATTGCATTTTTCATATACTGTATTTAAAAAGTTGTTTCCAGATTTTAGAGGCGGGATTTTGTTGTCATTGGGCTTGATTAGTCTTTTGGTCGCTAACCAAAGATTTGAATCAGCGGGATGTATTGAAGATAAATATTTTTGATATGAATTTATTCTATGTTCTTCGAGTAGAAGTTTTACTTTTTTGGTAAGGAAATTTAGCTTCTTGCGATCTTCAGGTCTTCTATGAAGTTGCCATTGTTTTCTTATATGGTGTTTGTTTTTTATAATTTTTTGTATTGATGGGGTAATTTTTGAGTTGTAATTTTGACCCAAAGTGGGTTTTGAGGGTATTGTACACTGTTCTGCCGCATAGGAGATTGTTTCATGAAGGTGAGAGATTGCTACATCGGCCAATAATGTATTGGAGATATTCTTGGGAATTATTATATTATCTGAAACGTATCGTTTGAATTTATCCCAATCCGGTTTTCCGTTTATAAGTTTGCGAGTTGGTTCAGATTGTATTAGTGATGCACCAATCAATATTTTACTGGCAAGTGATCCGAATCCAGTTCGAATAGGGGTTCTTGAGTAATTATTAAAGAAATCGATTTAAGTAAAACAACGTCTAAAATGTCTGGGCTTTTGTTAGGATCATATGGGTAATGCGTGGGATTGTCTGGTGCCGAGATAATCGCTGGGGAGTTTGATAGGTACTTATATAATTTTTTTCCATTTACGTTTGTTGTGTTGCATTTCCAGTTTACATGTTTTGAATTTAAGTCACCAATAATAACAATTTTATTATAGTTGTTTAATATTACGTCGAAGTCGATAGTGTACATGTTATAGCTTGGGGATTGATATGCACTGACTATAGTAGTATTTATATTGTTAATTAGTAGTGTTATTGCTACGGCTTCCAAAGAACGTAGACGAGGTATATATGCCTGTTGGTGTTTTATTTTGGTGCGTATTAATAACGCGACACCACCTGAAGGCCGGACCGCTGTCCTATCATTGCGATAAATTGAATAGCCATTAAATTTAATCGAGTCGGTTGTACATAAGTGAGTCTCACTTATACAAGCTATATCTACATTGTGATAAGATAAGAATGCAGCGAAAGTGTTGCGGTTCCGTTTAATGCCGTTTGCATTCCAGTTTATGATGACGATGTTACTAATATTAATTAAATTAGTTGACATTTAGATTATTTAATAATGTAGGAAGATTAGTGATAACTTTTTTGATAATTTCTGAGATAAGAGAAGTGAATAAAGGCATTAACGATTTAATGAGTTCATTAGTGATATTTGAGCTGTTCGATTGATCATCTACTGTTACTTCTTTTTTGCTTAAGTTTGTTTTAACCTTAGTGGCGTAAGATTCGCTTTGGGTATTTATTGTTTGAGTATGTATATAGGGTTGGAATGCATTTTGTTCTTTAGGTACAGGAATCGTTTGTAAGTGTTTAGGTGGGTCTTTATGAGACTTAGCTTTACTGTGGTTTTTAATTTGCTTATAGATTTTACAACCTTTATAATTTGCTGGATGATTTTCGTTGCAGTTTACGCATGTCGGTGGGCTATTACTATCTTTAGTACACTCAGAGTAGTGGTGTTGTTCTGGACATTTAACGCATCTAGGAGGTAGCTTACAGAAATTTTTTGTGTGATTAAAACGTTGGCAATTTTGACATTGAGGAATGGAGTTATCAGTTTTTCTATTTTCTACCGTAATTATGCACTGAAAAAGACGATCTAATGAAAAAAATATTTTTTTCTGATTTATCAAGGATAACAGCGACGATTGGAATTGGTGATTTATGACGGTTTTGTAGACGGGTTACAGACGTGACATTAAATTTTAGATCAGATAATTCCTCGAAGATTTCTGCTTCAGATATTGATGTTGGTAAATTTCTTATTATTATAGAAATATTTCTATCTTCCGGAAGTTGATATGTATGGTATTTAATATTGTTTTCGGAAAAATATTTAGTAACCGTACGATAGTCGTCGACGGTAGATAGATTCAG